CCCCCCCCCCCCCCCATTGCGCATAGACAAACACGAAAGCCCCATTAATCCCGTTCTGTCCGGTGCCGCCGTCTGGCGGCATTTCCCCCTCCCCACTCACCCTCTTTTCTCTCTTCTTGAGTATCCGCTCGGCGGCATAAACGTTTCCAAGATCCATTTCCATAAAAGTCACGTTCGACTAGCCACTAAAAATTCGATAATTTCACTGAAAAAAAATCACCACGTAATCCAAATGAGCACCTGATGAATAACTCCACGTGATTTCACACCACAAACTTGCCACCCCGTCCCAAAAAAATTTGTTTACGTGAGTTTCCACGGCGCATGCCGGATGTTTTCAACTCCTCGAGGGTTGCCCCCTCCAAAAAAAAAAAAAACACTGAAAATCAGTACTCCGTTGTGGAGTGCCACCTAATGTTTTCGAAACGGTGTTCACATCGAGTGCAACCGGCGCCACACGCACGTCCCATCGGTGATAAACCCCCTTTTTCCGCACTAAATCCCGAAAAAAACTCTCCACTCGTCCCCCCACCCCCCACAGGCCGGCAATTCCCCAGAATTCCCTAGGCCAAAAATCCCCAGACAAGGTTAAGCCCTTCGGCAAACCTCATAAATTACAGTTTTCCCAAAAAAGTTGACAAAATCGTTGTACTTCCAGTGCTGCCCCCTGCCGCTGATAATTCCCTAGTCCCGTGACGTCAGCGTGTGCCGTAGCTTCTCCCTCGCGGCTCGTAAACACCAAACATGGCGGTTGTCGGGCTATACGTCGGTATCAACCACATAACAATTCCGCATTACACAGATGCAATAGCCCCCAAAAATTTACCATCAGTCGTTTAAACAGTCCCCCCAAATCCCTAGGCCCTAGTTTATTTTTCAAACTAGTGATATTCACTGTTCAGATGAAACCGCACCACTGTGATAGTCCGAGGTATCGTACAACGCGTGAGTGAATACTTTTTTATTATTTTTTTTCCTCGAAACAACACGCGGCGTCTGGTACATTCACCGGATCGAGACGTACTAGTGTTGGAGGGCTCCTGCCGTACTTCCCTCGGCAAACATCGTCGGTTGGACTCGCCCGACCCTGTTCGGCTACAACCGCGCTGGTAAGGGGGGGGGGG